ACCTGCCATCAGACCTGAGGTCCTTCCCCAGTACCTGCCATCAGACCCCTCTGCCCGAGGTCCTTCCCTGATACCTGCCATCAGACCCCTCTGCCTGAGGTCCTTCCCTGGTACCTGCCATCAGACCCCTCTGCCCGAGTTCCTTCCCCGATACCTGCCATCAGACCCCTCTGCCTGAGGTCCATCCCAGGTATCTGCCATCAGACCCCTCTGCCCGGGTACCTGCCATCAGGTCGCTCTGCCCGGGTACCTGGTGCCCATGACCTGGGTGCCCTTTTGGTTCATGTCTCCCATGTGACTTTCCCTCTTCTTCCTGCGGGAAGTCTTTGGGGGGGTTCCCTTAAGGGGCATTAAGTGTTCTGCCTCCCTAGCTTGCAGACACTCGGTCAGAGAAGCTAACCTCACCTCTCACTGTCTCACCCTCCCATTGCCTGGCAGCCCTCCGGTTCTCTGATGTTCAGAGGCCTCAGTTTAAGCATTTTTATTTGGCGAATTCTCAAAAAATGCAATGCAAAGCATGTCAGGAAGGCAGCAGGGCGTGGCCCCCAAAGTCTGTCTGCCACTAGCGCTCAGCATTTCTGCTATCAGCCCATGGTGTCAAGCCCTTTCGTCAGAAGTCTACTACTCGGCCATTAACACATACTGCTTGCATACTATATTTAGTCGATTACATAACAAACAAGTATGTGATTTGAGATGCATCCATGGAGTCTTTCAGGTGAATCTTGTGGGGACACTTCTTGCACCTGACATGCGGTGTCAGTGGATACAGCGTTTTCACTCACTTCATCGCTTTCACTCACTTCATCAAAATGCATGAAAATGCTACCCATTACTATGACCAGTAATGGGTAGACGAGGCTCGAGAAACTCCAAAAAGGTTACATTGCTAAAGAACGTGCGAGAGGGGTGGTGCCGCAATGGCCACAATGCCTCACAACACCATTGTTGGGGTGCAAACCCCCCTCCCCTCTCTGTGTGCTGTCTGCATGTCCTCCCGCATGTGCCTACCGTGTCCCTGCCCTGTCCCTGCTGTGTCCCTCCCGTGTGCCTCCCGTGTCCCTGCCATGTCTCTGCTGTGTCCCTCCCGTGTGCCTCCCGTGTCCCAGCCATGTCCCTTCCCTGTGCCTCCCATGTCCCTGCCCCCCTGTGCCTCCCATGTCCCTGCCCTGTGCCTCCCGTGTCCCTACCATGTGCTTCCCATGTCCCTCCTATGTCCCTGCCATGTCCCTCCCATGTCCCTGCCCTGTCCCTCCCATATCTCTGCCCTGTCCCTCCCGTGTCCGTGCCATGTGCTTCCCATGTCCCTCCTATGTCCCTGCCCTGTGCCTCCCATGTCCCTGCCCTGTGCCTCCTATGTCCCTGCCATGTCCCTCCCATGTCCCTGCCCTGTCCATCCCATATCTCTGCCCTGTCCCTGCCATGTCCCTCCCATGTCCCTGCCCTGTCCATCCCATATCTCTGCCCTGTCCCTCCCATGTCCCTGCCATGTGCTTCCCATGTCCCTGCCCTGTCCCTGCCCTGTGCCTCCCATGTCCCTCCTATGTCCCTGCCATGTCCCTCCCATGTCCCTGCCCTGTGCCTCCCATGTCCCTGCCCTGTGCCTCCCATGTCCCTGCCCTGTGCCTCCCATGTCCCTCCCATGTCCCTGCCCTGTGCCTCCCATGTCCCTGCCCTGTGCCTCCCATGTCCCTGCCCTGTACCTCCCATGTCCCTGCCATGTCCCTGTTCTGTATCAGAAACCACCTGTTAGCTTCAATATTTAGCCCCATTTTCTGCTAATGTCATAAATTCTGATGAATTCAGAGGCTGTATGGGGACACTAGCCAAAACACTAATTTATGTTAATGATGATGACTATGATTTTTATTATTATTTTCTCCATTTCCTGTCTGTCTGTAGTCAGTCTAAACTGGTTAATTAAATTATTACCCATAATTCCACTACAGATTGCTGGCTGAGCCTGACTCAGCCAATCAGCAGTCTGCTTTTTGTTTGGAATGTGTAAACAAAGATGCACCCAGAATAAGTGGCCCATTTAGACGGTGTTCTGAAAGGTGCCAGTTCCCAGGAGAGACGTGGGGGGGGGGTGTGAAAAGGCAGCGTTGCCTGTAATAATGCCGCGCGCTTGGGGACAAGGGAAGGTCTCTTTTTAAAGTGTGTTATCATGTCTGCAGCAATTGCATAAGCAACACTACCTTTCTGGAGAGAAATCTCGCCTCCCTCTCTTTCAAAATATATGAAAGTACAATAATTGCAAAAAGAATGAAATTTCAAAACCATTTTCACTTTTGTTCTTGTTCCATAATGAGAGATTGCGATCATGCTGCTAATAATCTGCAAAATAAAAGTCATTAATTTCAATCACAAACATCCAGTGGAAGCTTCATTTTAAACAGTAAATTGCTCTGCAGCAGAATCCTACGCCTGAAACAATTCAAAGGATCCATCTTTCGAATCCGACCAGTTTGATCAGATTTCTCTGTATTGTGATTTTGTGCTGAGCGTCAGAAACAACAGAAACTGTCCCAGATATTCATATGAAAGTGGTATAATGGTATAATGAGTCACTGTGCTGCCCCCGGAAGACAGGGGCCGTCACTGCGTGCCAGAGCTGCTGCTGCAACCCGCAGCTTCCATGGCTGGCTGGCCCTCTGAGCTCTGTCCCCCCACATGCCCCCACCCTTCCATCGCCATCATCAGCTGACAGCCCAGTGGGCACTTTGCCGGGCCAGCAGGAACAGAACTGCAGGCCAAACCAGCCCAATAAAGCGCCCCAGGCTGGGTCCCCCCCACGTCTCAGGTTGTTCTCTAACTTCCCAGCAGAGGCTGACAGCCACTGCAATATGAATCTTCGTAGTAAGGATATAACTCTCATAAATAGGCATAAAAGCCCCCAGTGCCACTCAAACCACGCATCTGCATGGTGCAAAAACGGACAGGTGCAAACACGTACAAACAAACACACACAAATGGACATGAGCAAACACAGGCACAAATGAACATGCACTGCACCCTGTGCCCCTGTGTCAGCAGTCTGGAATGCTGTGCAGCATGATACAATCATGCGTAGTGAAAGAAAGGGTTAAGTGTGGACTCACCAACGGTCCCCAGGGCGATGTACCCCAGGATGACGATGACAAAAATCACGCAGCACAGCACGTCGGTGCAGCTCCTGCGGGGGCAGAGGGGGAGGGGTGAGGCCATGCTGCAAGCTAAACACTGCGCCCAGCACCCAGCTGCGGGGGGGCAATGAAGCTGGGCGGCTCAGCAATGCTCCCCCACAGGAAAGACAGAGCAGAAAGACAAGCGACACGTCAGCGTCCTCAGGAGAAGGGAAGCGTGACCGGAAATGGCGAAATGCAGCAGAGACAGTGAGGAGGCCCCTGTACACAGATATGTCTGAGGACGCGACTTGTGCCCGATTAGGTCACAGGTGATGGGAAGGGAGGTGCGAGGAGTGATCAGGGCACCTGGGGTAAGAGGGAGAGGTGTGAGGAGTGATCAGGGCACTTGGGGTGGGGGCGGGAGGGCTCCAGAACTCAGCTGGACGATGCTGAACAGCTTAGTGACAGAGGAGCCACTGGGAAGAGAGGAGAGGAGAGCAGGGCTTGGGAGCGGACAGCACCTCCTCCGGCCATAAGCCCCGTTCTAGGGAGTGGACAGCACCTCCTCCGGCCATGAGCCCCGTTCTAGGGAGCGGACAGCACCTCCTCTGGCCATGAGCCCCGTTCCTGCCCATGGACGTTGGTGTTTAAGGACGGCCGCTGCAGATGGATCTACTATATTGTGTTGGTGGGTTTTTTGAATAATGACCTTCTCATTGTTCAGTGGAATAGCCTATTTAAAAGCATTAACAAGAGTGTTTTTCACTGTTAATGGTGATCGAATGAGTCCAGTTAAAGGTCATCAGAGTAAAATCCCCTAGTGCCAAGTATAGTGCACACGTGAGTCAGACCTCGAGTCCGATCCGTTTTCCTGTGATTGGAGGGGCAGGTGCAGAGCCGGATGGTAAGCACAGTGACCAGCAGTGAGCCCAATCACCCTGCTACTCCTTACAGCTGATCTCCAGGTGAGGGTCAGACTATCTGCTAATCTCTGCCTTAATGAGTTCACGCTCACTCCACCATGGAAGCACCTCAGGCAGCGGGTCTGCTGCTGTAACGAGCTGACGAGTCTTTGCTGGGACTCATCCTCTTTGATGGTCCCTCAAAGTCAGCCAGAGAAGGGTGATGAAGGCCAGAAAAGAAGCTAATTATCCCACCACGTCTTTTAAGGAGCTGCAGGCAGGAGTGTTACATAAGCGAAGTTCAGCTGTGCCGCCTGTTCTCGGGTCTGAGGAGCGACACACTCCCTCCTTTGATGCTGGAGACTTTTGTCCACCATCCATATGCCTGGAGAAGCATGTGTAGCTTTGGGGGAGGTTCTCCCACGGGAGAACGACAGCGTGTCATCCTTCCGGAGTGACACTTCAGCCCGTGGCCCTCAGTGTGACAGGCGAGGCGGCCGCCATGGGCAACAGAGCGCTCTGTACGTGATAGAACTTTTACTTTGATTTACTGACACACAAAAAAGTGAGTGTTGCACACGGCTGCCCCTCAGCTCATGGAGGGAACGGGGAAAGGAGAGAGAGAAGAACTCAGCGGAAACAAGCAGAAACGAGCTGAGCGCCACAAGTCAGATGCATCGGTAGGTGCATAGAGGAACACTGCCGTACATCTCAATGTGATTAGCATTTTAATATTTTTACTTGCTGTAAACAGTAAAACATGCAAATGGAGAGAAAATTAGTTTCTTAATTATGATTTGAAGCATTGCTTACATATCAGCATCTAGAGAAAGGGCCACAGTGTGTGTGGGGGGGGGGCGCTTTTGCACTTTACTGCCCGTGGATTTTCACCCCGCTTCACCTGACACCCGACGGGAGGCCAGTACACTCAGTGCCCTGGGGGCGTCAAGTCTGTTTGCAAGACCTGCAGTATAAACGAAGTCAGGCCAACGTCACCCCTAAAGCCCCCTCGACCCCCTTGTTCTGTGTACAGATATGGTTACGCTGCACTCAACTGCAGGACATCAGCCTTTAAAAAACACAGAGAGTTGGTCTGAGCTGAAAGAGTTTCACGCTGAAGACCTGGACAGCCTCTCGTTTGAAGGCCTGGTACTTTACATGCCACTCTGAGGGCTGCAGAACCTTCCGGGATGCTTTGCTGCGGACAACAAAAAAGCATGTGATTTGCTTCACACCTTCAAACCTTATTAAACAATTCAGAACCTACCCGCCATGTTTAGTATAACCTCCAGTGTTTAGTATAAGTGTTAAGAATATTTTATGGTCTTTCTTGACAACATAATGAGAGGAGAACAGAATTAAAGTTACCAGAGGGATCCAAACCTTAAAGTGATGATGATGATGATGATGATGATGATGATGATGATGATTATGATGATGACTCCCTCACACTCTCTCCTGCTCTCTCACTCTTGGTGGGGGCGGGGTGCCTTTCTGGGAGTAAATCCAGTCCATGTCAGACATGCTTTCCCTGTCCCTGGCACAGATAATTCTGGGGGGGGGGGCAGCGATCTGGAGAACAGCCTTCTCACAGCAGGGCAGCCGATATCCAGCCAAGGCCAAAACACCGGCATCGCTGCACTCACAAGAAAGCAAAGGGCTAATATGAAGTTTTCTGCAAATCAGCCTCATTAGGATGAATGAGAATGTGTCCTGGATCTCATTACTGTGCATCTAGTATGATGCTGATGGCCAGGCGTCACCAGGGCAGAAGAAGCGAGTTATTATAGGCTGCACGCTGTGTGCGCGGACACCAAGGGGCACAGGTCCTCCCCATGTGAGAGGTGGGTGCTTCTGACAGGGTGGGGCAGGCCCATGTGACTCTGCAGAAAGGAGGTGATTGGCTGGCATGGAAACGGTACCGCTGACCCTCCGTCGGCGCCACCCGCCAGTGCGCTGATGTACAGCCTCTCATCTCATTAAGAGAAGCTGCGGGAAGGAGGTGTTTACAACGCAACCTGGAGAGACAGGCGGTCTGGCAGGCCTTTTCCTGGTATGTACCTCCATGGAAGCGTCACCCCAATAGCGGGCGGACGGCCAAGGTCCTCAAAGCACCACTACGGAGTTCTACAAAAATATATTTAGCCTCTGACACGTTGCATGTAAAGCTTGTGTCCAGATCCGGGAGTCCTGGTGATTCTGAAGACACCTTCAGAAGTGCCAGGAGCAGTGGGGACAGGAGACGTGGACAAACATCACGTTGCACAGAAGTTCTGAAGTCTTGCTGCGCGTGTGTGGGGCGGGATTAGAAGTGAACGTCCCCAGGGAGCTGCAGACCCCCCTTGGGTTATATTTGGAAAGGCAGCTACATGAAGGCGCTGGGGAAGCTTCTGCATCACATCTGCTGCACATCAGCAAATGTCCTCCAAGATATAATGAGGAAAAAGCATGTAAGTATCTCGGAGAGGATAAGAGGCGTATCGTTCCGGAATAAAGGGGGGTGAGGCAGGAGCCTGCTGGGAAGGGGCCCTGAAGCACTAAGACTGCTGCTCATAGCTGAGGCTCAGCGGGATCAGCCCTGCTCAACAATAAAACAACACCCTCCCTGTTTCTGCTGTGTAAGTAGAAATGAAAAGCCTTTCAGGGATTTTGAAGTGCTCAATTAAAAGGGAGCTCACTGGATTGAGTCATGCCGGGTTACTAAGGTATGCAAAAAAGTTACAAGAACTGGTACATTTTGTTGAATGCATCCAATGCCTGGAACCCTGAATCTCCCTGACAGCGGTGCTCTGCCCCAGCCTCAGTGCGCTATCCCAGCCCCAGTGCACCATCCCAGCCTCAGTGAGCCATCCCAGCCTCAGTGCGCTATCCCAGCCTCAGTACACCATCCCAGCCCCAGTGCACCATCCCAGCCTCAGTGAGCCATCCCAGCCTCAGTGCGCTATCCCAGCCCCGGTCCGCCATCCCAGCCCCGGTGCGCCATCCCAGCCCCGGTCCGCCATCCCAGCCTCGGTGCGCCATCCCAGCCCCGGTCCGCCATCCCAGCCCCGGTCCGCCATCCCAGCCTCGGTGCGCCATCCCAGCCCCGGTACGCCATCCCAGCCCCGGTCCGCCATCCCAGCCCCGGTGCGCCATCCCAGCCTCGGTGCACCATCCCAGCCCCGGTCCGCCATCCCAGCCTCGGTGCGCCATCCCAGCCCCGGTCCGCCATCCCAGCCCCGGTGCGCCATCCCAGCCCCGGTGCACCATCCCAGTCCCAATGTACCCTCACGCCACCTCGTGCCACCCGGGATCTCACCAGTTTGGCCAGGTAGCAGTTCACACAGGTCACAACAGCAGGTGTGACCTTTCTCAGGGAGCTGTAGTCAACTGGGACAGTGGACATGTAGCTTTGAAGCCACCAGTGAATTCTATTCACCAGGAGGCCATTGGGGGCATGTGCTGTTGGTTCACAATGCTAATACCATGGCAGGACTGCCAGCTCACACGCTTTCTGACTCTCACGCTCACACAAGAAATCTCTATATTGTTCCATTATAAACCTAAAATTAGCTACAACAAAAGTGTTGGGATAGTCTGCAAACCCTAAAACTGTTACATACATGTAAATGCATGTGCAGACTTGTATCGAATTCAAAATCTCACGCCAGGCAGCTGACCAAAGTTGGCAACCCTGCTAAGTCATTAGCTGCAACAGGCAGTGAGATGCCTTTAGGTACTATGGGACCAACAGCATCTTCTGTAACATTGATATATGAATTGCATTTGGGAGACCCCTCATAGTTGTGTTTGTTAACAAGCAACAGAGACATAGTAGCTTAAACTAGCTGTAGTGCTTACACCCCTTTTCATTGGCTCCTCCAGTGAATATGCTTCAGTCATTGTTTTGATAGTACCTGGGGGCTCGCACCCGAGCTCGGTCACCAATGCCCATCGTGTAGCTCACCATTCTCCTTCTCGTACACTAGGACACCTGGCATCTTCACCTGTGTGGTAGCTGTTTTATTGAAATGTCCCTACACTCTCCTTTCATCCTGTATCTACACTGATGGAGATCATCAAGTAGTTCTGGGCCACATATCTCAGATGCCTCTGGCAAGAATCAACCAGTTTAACTCAGAACAACAGGCCTGCAACCTGAGTAACTTGAGGAATTAAAAAAAAAACACAACGTCTCATGGAAAACTCTCGCAGTCCATCACTTGAAGAACGATAACAATTTGTGGAGTTCTGTAGGAAGGAACAGCCATGTACCATGCTTGCAGCACCAAAGGCCTGTATTCAGTCCTGGCAGACACCAATCACTGTGCATGAGAAGCAGGGCATAGCATGTGCTTCAGCCATTCAGCCCTGTAGCCCTGAGAGTATCCTCAGCGCGGTAATGTGGTTCCCATTTGTCGTTAGGATTTGCGCTTAGGGACTGAGGTGACTGAGTGGCTGGCTCAACACTGGATGGAGGACGTAGCGTAGATACTGTCTACAGGGAAGGATCTGGAAGGGGGGGGGTTCTCCTTCAGTCATAAACATGATAAACCACAAAAATACACCCAGCCTAGTGGCCCAAATCTGCACATAATATGAGGAGCCGACAGGGGAGAATGACATTGCCCGGGATAAACCAGACCCACAGTCGATTCCTGGTACACGAATGCTGATTTGATGACCTGGTCAGTAATGGACCTGAATATTGCACTGAATAAAAGGCCTTTTAATAAGAAGGTATCAGCCTTAGGCAAAGCCTTCAAACCCCTGTGATCTGCTGTAAGGTCTGTGCTGTGTATTCTGCCATCAAATCGGACCTGATTCCCCTTCAGAGAAGTGCAGTAGTTTTTCCCATTGGTGCTGCTTTGAAGCAGCACACATGTTTAACACTCCGTGAGCCCTGCAGGCGGCGCTAAGATCTGTGATAAGAGGCTGTCAGTGGATCGGGTTTGGGGTTATCCGTCAGGCAGTGACAGCGGGGACAGCCTGAGATAAACAGGACCTGCATACGATGGCACACAGCCGAGAATGAGCCACCATGTCTTCGAGCTGAGTCATAGTCTTGACATATGACCAGAGCAGAGATGCCCTTGTGTCAACCCACTAAAAGCTGCAGGGTGTGACTCAGCAGATTGGAGTGGCTGCCTATCACCAGAGATGGTGAAGTGATTTCAAAGTTGGGGCCGTGAGCAATTACTCCATGGACTTGGTCTACAATTGTTGAGCCCCATGTGTAGAAGATTTTATTTCGATTATAAGAGATTCATATGACTGCAAGATATTTAACTAGGGCTGAATAATTAGAAGTTGCTGTTATAAAACTCATAACATAATTGTAACAGCCTTCCCTGGGAGCTCTAAGATGTGACGCACAGAAAGGGACTTCAGTCATTTTTTACAGGAGCAGGATTAATTGTAGTCAGTGGATCCCTGACATGTATAGGTCACCAGCAGCCTGTTCTCCCAGAAAATACAAGGGTGACAACATCCATCCCCCCCAGCAGTGGCTTGTCCATCCTGATCCTACTGGAAGCGTCTGGAAGTCTGGTTCTGTACATGAGGAATGGCAGCTGAAATTACCTGTTTCAAATAAAGTGCCACCATCGATTTTCCCACAGGAGAAACCATGCCAGCTTCTGGGCAGATAAACCCCGGCAGTCACATGATAGGGGCGAAGGTGCCTGAAGGCACATGGGGCCATGGGACTCTGTGGGACTCTATGGGTCTCTGTGGTACTCTATGAGATTCTGTCGAGCTCTATGGGTCTCTGTGGGACTCTGTAGGACTCTGTGGGACTCTGAGGGACTCTATGGGTCTCTGTAGGACTCTATGGGTCTCTGTGTGACTCTATGGGACTCTGTGGGACTCTTTGGGTCTTTGTAGGACTCTGTTGGGCTCTATGGGTCTCTGTAGGACTCTGTGGGACTATGGGTCTCTGTGTGATTCTATGGGACTCTGTGGGTCTTTGTAGGACTCTGTGGGACTCTATGGGTCTCTGTGTGACTGTATGGGACTCTGTGAGTGTTACGCCCAGCTTGTCCGATCCTCGTGTGTGCCACGCCCACCTCGTTACCTCGTGTTAATTCCCGATTGTCATCACCTGTTTCCTGTTCCTCTTGGCTTGTCCTGTGTATTTAGTCCGCGTCTGAGTTAGTCTTCCCAGATAAGTCATTGTATTGTTTAATGTTTGTCGCCTGTCTGCTCTGATTAAACCACGTATTTCTGAAGTTACGGCTCTCTCGCCTACTTCCTCGTTCGCCCATCCGCCGAACGTAACAGTGAGACTCTGTGGAGCTCTATGGGTCTCTGTGGGACTCTATGGGACCCCATGAGACTCTGTGAGACTCTCTCAGACTCTATCAGACTCAGTGGGAACGAGCTGTGAGGGCTGGGACTATGACTCAGAAAGGCCTTCAGTTTCACTGTTTTGGAAAGTTTTAAAAGATTTTTGATACTACAGAGCAAAAATAAAGCCAATGACAAGGCAGCACAGTACATGGTAACAATGACTGAATTTTAAAATATTTACATTTTCACAGGACAGATTTATATTTACAGTATATGTGGATGTTACATGGAGGAAGAACAAGGTCAGGGAAAGATGGAAGAAAAATTAGGTCTCAGAGCAGCTGGGAATCGGACAACCCCCAAGCGCATCCCCTCTACACCTACCTGTTGTGTACGGGTCCTCGGAAAGTTGGGTCAAACTTCCGCGGCTCACCTGCCAAGAAAGATCAGCATTAGTGACTTGCTTTATCTGTTTAAATGATTAGCATTAGCTGTTAGCACTGCCTACCTGAAACATCCCACCTTAGGCAAATTGATTCCCAAATATTACTGGGAAATACTGGAATAGTGCTGCTTTTTAAAATACTGTCAAAACACCATATACCACGGTATAATGACTAGACTGTATGATGATATTAAACATTAGATACCGCCGGTAAAATTAGCTGTACGGGTGGGGAGGGTTGCTGAGATAAAATATCTTGCTGGCTAATTATGCCGCTGTTGAATAGTGGAACAACAGATTTTCAGGACACTGCGTGTCATTTGCGCATATCAAGGAGCTGCTATCAGTTTGCGAGAGAGTTGCAATGTTTGGTATTAGTCTGGCTGAATCATTAGCATTGGTTAGTAGCCTTGTCTAGTTAAAAATCAACTTTGGCCACAAGCCTCAGTTCACAAAATGATGAACTGACTATGAGTATTAGCTGATAGCTTCGTCTAGTTGAATGATCGACATTAGCTGATAGCCTCGTCTAGTTGAATGATCAACATTAGCTGATAGCCTCGTCTAGTTGAATGATCAACATTAGCTGATGGCCCCATCTAGCCAAGCGATCGGCATTAGCTGATAGCCTCGTCTAGTTGAATGATCGACATTAGCTGATAGCCCCATCTAGCCGAGCGATTGGCATTAGCTGATAGCCCCATCTAGTTGAATGATCAACATTAGCTGATAGCCTCATCTAGCCGGGTATAAAAATGCACAGGTATGAAAGATCAAGGGTTTAATTATTTCCCATTAACATTGCAACTGACTAGAGCTTTGACTTGACACATGTGACATTTGCAGCACAAAAAATGTGTTGTCATAAACTGACACCCCATGAAAAATTCACCATCTTCTGAACACGGGGAAACAAAGAATCACTGAAATGTACATAATTTTTGCTCAAGTATGTTTCTCATTTAAACTGTGTATTGAATCCAATCTCCTGCCATGTGGTTTTAATTAAGGACACTGTCAATTAAAACCCATCTGCTCTTCCATCCAGGATGTAAAGGTATCAGTGATTGCAGGGAATGGAAATAAGCTGGCACAGAGTGAGTGTGTGCACAGGACTGTGTGAAGGACAGGTGGCCACTGCGGGTGGGGGTGGCTCTCATTAGCCCTTCTCTAGCTATGTCAGGAAGTTCTAACATGTTGGGGTGTTTCTCCATCACTTTCAAACTCCACCCTGAACAGAGTCCTTCTTTTCTCTAGTTTTAGTTTAGACAGCACAACTGCTGTACCGGAATGATCAGGAGATCAAGCAAAACACCATATGCCATGTCCCATCACTGTCACACTGGCGTCCTGTTCTTCCAAGTCCCATCAATTCAATTAAATTCAATTCACATCATTACATCATCTCAAAATGCTTTACATTATCTCTGCCCAAAGTCCCCAGTGAGCAGCCAAAGGTGACAGTGGCAAGGAAAATCTCCCCAGTAGGTAGGAAGAAACCTTGGGAGAAACCAGACTCAGAGGGGCAGCCCAACCTCCAGGGGCCGGTAGAGGAAGTCAACTGAGCAAGATGGCAAAGTCCCAATTCACACTGTCCCAGTTTTAACATTTGAATCTCAAAGTGGGGACCAGGCAGGTGATGGCAGGCAGTTGCTGGTGCTGCCTGTCACACTGGCGTCCTGTCCTGTCATGTCTCATCACTGTCACACTGGCGTCCTGTCCTCTCATGTCTCATCACTGTCACACTGGCGTCCTGTTCTGCCATGTCCCATCACTGTCACACTGTCGTCCCATCCTGCCATGTCCCATCACTGTCAACCACACAGCAGCCTTCACGTTGGCCTGACACAAATTGTGAAATCCACTGACAGTCTTGTTTACCAGAAGGACAAGATTTTGTATTGACAAATTCCTGCCCATTAATAAAGCTTTTTAATTTTCCTGTGGACTGCCACTATCTCCGGATATAAACCGCCTTTTGTGAGCTTGTCTCAGCTGTAGTCCTCGAAACAATAACCAGCTGAATTAATAAAGCGACGGCTCTGTGCTTCGTCCTGCAGGATGCGAGAGGCCCTCCCTCCTGTCTTATCATCGTTTACCACAGCTGATTGACTCAAATGTCATCTGACACCATGACATGGAAGTGTCCTCCTCTGTCCACACGCTGCTCTGCTAGAGTGCCCCCCGTCTCTGGAAGCCCACTGGGCAGCAGCAGTGATGTTCCCCAGTGTTCTCTGAGAGCGGCTTGGGGAGATGGACCTGAAGCACCCTTCTGACCACATCTACAAGGTCTTTCTTTCAGAGAAATGCAAACCCTGCATGTCTGCTGCAGAGGACCCTTTAATATGTACCTTCAGCAGACACATTAATAGCGGGAAACATCTTCATTATCCTGTCTCCTCTGCTACAGACAGTAGAGGCTTTGTCACCTGTGTCTGATTCAGGCAGACATCACTGAGGTGTCGTCTGCTCATAGCTCAAAAAAGATCCAACTCACAGGTGACACACCTTCCCCACTTCCTGTCCTCACACTCCGGCAGTTCAAAGCCCACAGTCGCTAAATTGAGCCCGACTCTTAAGCCAAGGCCTCCCACCCAGATCCATGCCCATGACTGAAGGTGGAGCAGACCTCTCTCTGAGCCAATCCGGCTCTTTCTCCACTTTCCCTCCTCTGCCATTCTTATAATAAAAGGGGCCCCATCTGCAAATGTAGACATACCAACTTTGCACTCTCCTGCTCCTCCTGAATGAATAAATAACATGCTCTGCTCTATGCCACTCGCCAGGCTCGGTGTGCGGTGGAGCGAGGTGACACACCCAGACATTTATCCCCAAAGTGAAAAGCTCAGAGCGTCAGCCATATGGACAACGAGGCAAACTGGACATGAATGTATGGACACAACATGTGAAGGGATGACAATATATTCTGTAATACATTAATACCCCAATTTACTGCTGTCTGGGTGAGGAATATTTGAGATCCCAGGTCAGAAAGGCATGTAAAGACTTGCAGCATCTATTGAAGGCATTAACGGTGTCAGTTAATGGATGATCAGCATGTCGTCTGCCCCAAATCTAATGTTCTCTCAAACACAATCGATATCAAGCCAGCGGAGCACATGTGGGTTAGTGGAATGCAGTACGGGATTTTAAAGTCAATCTTATTGACATACATAAATACACACACATACTGTAATAACAGACACAGTCATGTGAAAAAATTAGTACACCCCATTAAATGTTTAGTTCTTTATTAAGAAATATCATCACTATTAAATCTTCTTTCAAATCATATGTGTAGATAAAGGTGATGTAATTGTATCACCTATGCAAAAAAAAGAAACAAATTCACTTATTTAACAGAAAAAATTAACTATGATGCCAATTTCCACTTAGGAAAAAGTTAGGACACCCTCACATACATTATTATTTAAAATGCCTTGAGTTAGATTCAGGTGGCACCACATCAGGTGAAAATGATTAGAACATCATTACAGAGCTTTTTGGTGGAGTCTGTCTTATTTATAACATAGACATTTAGTTTGGTTTGCTCTTGATTGTTGAAATGAGTGGGATCACCATGGTGAGATCAAAAGAGCTCTCTGAGGCCTTCAGAAAGAAGCATGTAGATGCATATGAGTCTGGGAAGGATATAAAAAGATCTCAAGACAGTTTGGAATTAGCCATTCCACTGTCCGGAGAATAATTTACAAGTGGAGAACATTTAAAACAACTGCCAGTATGGCCAGGGCAGGCTGTCCTAGCAAGTTCAGCCCAAGAGCAGACCCCAAGATGCTGAAATAAGTCTCCAAAAATCCTAAAATGTCATCACAGGTCATACAGGAAGCTCTTGCCACAGTTGATGTCAAGGTACATGCATCTACCATCAGAAAGAGACTGTGCAAGTTTAGTTTACATGGGAGCTGTGCAAGGAGGAAACCCTTGCTGTCAAAAAAATATCAGGGCAAGACTGAAGTTTGCCAGAGACCCACCTAGACAAAGACCAGGACATTTGGAACAATGTGCTTTAGACAGATGAATCTGAAATTGAATTATTTGGACATAGTAACAGGACAGTTTGGTGTAAACCAAAGACATATTGGAGCAAAAGAACCTCATGCCAGCTGTGAAGCATGGGGGTGAAAAAGTCATGATTTGGGACTGCTTTGCTGCAACAGAACCTGGCCAGCTCACCATCATAGAATCTACTATGAATTCTTCATCATATCAGAGGGCAATGTGAGATCATCTGTCCAAAAGTTGAAGCTGAAGTTGGGGTGGATCATGCAAATGACAATGACATGCATCTACCATCAGAAAGAGACTGTGCAAGTTTAGTTTACATGGGAGCTGTGCAAGGAGGAAACCCTTGCTGTCAAAAAAATATCAGGGCAAGACTGAAGTTTGCCAGAGACCCACCTAGACAAAGACCAGGACATTTGGAACAATGTGCTTTAGACAGATGAATCTGAAATTGAATTATTTGGACATAGTAACAGGACAGTTTGGTGTAAACCAAAGACATATTGGAGCAAAAGAACCTCATGCCAGCTGTGAAGCATGGGGGTGGAAAAGTCATGATTTGGGACTGCTTTGCTGCAACAGAACCTGGCCAGCTCACCATCATAGAATCTACTATGAATTCTTCATCATATCAGAGGGCAATGTGAGATCATCTGTCCAAAAGTTGAAGCTGAAGTTGGGGTGGATCATGCAAATGACAATGACTCAAAACATTCCAGTAAATCTACCAAGGAATGGCTTACAAGAAAGAGTTCTGTAATAGTTAAGTCAAAGCCCGGATCTGAATCCTATTGAGATGCTGTGGAGTAATTTGAAGAGGAAGTGTATGCAAGACACCCTTCAAACATCACACAGCTTAAGGAATTCTGCATTGGAGAGTGGGGAAAACTTTCTGCCAGTCAATGTCAGAGATTGATAAATGGCTATAGGAAACGTCTCATTGAAGTTATTTAAGCCAAAGGGGG